AAAAATCACATGGTCGAAAGCTCCAAAAAGTACATTTTACATGATGTAGGACTCTTAATGTTGGCAAACACATTCCTTCTGTCTGTTTTCATTCTCATCCAACGCCTGGGTCATGGGTACAACAGCCCCGGCAAAGAGGCTCAAACTGTCACGCAGCAGCCTCCACCTACTCCGCTGGTGGGACTTCAGCATATTCCGCCTGGAACTATAAATCCTCCATCTTGTCCTGGATTAACCTAGGGGCCTTTATCATGCCTGGAACACCTCTCATGAGTTGTCCAGGAGGCACGTGATTCAAAATACCCGCACCACCTCACCTGCACCTCTCAACGTGGAGGAGTGTATTTCTGGGATGTCTGAGCCCCCCACCCTTGATCACTCTGTGTTGAACAGACGCAGTCTGGTTTCCGTACAGATTCTGCATAAATCATCGAGTCAGATCAGAGTGTTTACACCGGCTGCACTGGGGTCCGAATCAGGATACGGAGCTTCGGAAAGTTTCTGCACGGAGTCTGTTGTTTCCAGACTCTGCACGCAGATTGTCATGAAGTCAAAGAAAGCCAGACAGGAAGTGAGATGTGTCGGCTGTGACGGCGACTTCAGGTGCTGCGGGCTCATCCGTAAAAAGTGTCCTCTTGACCACCATGTCGACAAAAGCAGCATTAAAAATACAATCGATGTTAACTCAGTTATAGTGACAGTAACTACAAAGACGTGCTCTTTGAAGTGGAGGACAGTCTCAGCTGTAATGAATCGAGCTAGAAGCAAAGATAGATTTTTCCGCCTCTAAACTTGATTAATAAAAACGTAAGCGTGTGAAAGGTGTTTGGGTGGATGTGCGTCCACTTCCTGTTCCTGTTTGCTCCTCATGTGCTTGCTTTTGTTCGTATTTAAGATGGTTGAACTAGAAAGTCTGTTTTTCTCAGACTCAGATCAGTGATTTCCAGCAGAGCGCAACTAATATTACAAATTAAAGGTTGACTTCAGACAACCTTAAACTCCGATCATTCCAGCAAAATATTCTCTCTGTAATTATAGATTAAAACACATAAATTCATATGATTAAACTCTGGGAACATGAATCAGTCTCTTTATGTGGGCATTTTCTTGTTTAAAACTACAGATTAAGCCTCCAAACACCTAAATCAACATTATTCTGACTCCTCCTCCTCCTAAACGCCCGTTAGGTGCGCTCTACTCACGCTCCCCTTCACGCACACTTACCACATCTTAAAAAATTCATCACACATTTTAAGAAGAGCGATCCTGACCAGCAGGCCTCTCTCAGCTCTGATCCTTCTGTCTTTTGGAAGTGAAGTAAAAATTAGAACGTTGCAGATTCCGTGAAATGGAAAGTCTCCCACACCCGCCAGTTATCAAAAAGCCTATTGCTTCTGACTCGTGCCCGGAAGCTTGAAGGAAGAGGACAACAAGACTACAAAAGGCCGGGAGACGCCGGCTGAGACACAGACAGATACTTTAAAGGGAGACCGCCTCGGGCTTGTACGTACGAGTGTGTGCACATGTGTGCGCTTGTGCACACGAGCATTAATGGGTGTGTGTTCTCTAGCGCCGACAGCTGATGGTGATTGTGAGTTCTGATGGCGCTGATGTCTCTTTCTCCTGCAGCATGTTCGGGCTTTACATCAGATGCAGCAGATGAATACATAAACATGCAGGGAGACTTTATTTGTGAACTCTTGCTTGTGTCCTAAAAACAAGAATTAGCAAAAAATTAAAATACATTTATGGTGCCAATGTTTTTTAAGCTTGGTTTGTGAATTCTGAAATTAAAATCTGTTTAGGCTTTATTCCCATATTTACCCATTCATGTGTACAACAAAAGAGCAATATGTCTGAAAATAATTGCTGCTTTAAAAAAGATCACATGCTCTCAAACAAATATACCACTATTGCAGAATTTGTGCTAAAATGTTATGTTTGCATGCTTTAATAAGCAACAACTGCATTAAAATACCTAAAGAGCACAATCTGTGTCAGCACTAGAGATCATGTATCACCACATTTAAACGATCAGCTACGGGATCTGTTTGTGCAGAATATGAAGCATATGTTAAGATCAGATCACTAATTGCTTATTGTCTAGTGAAAATGCTCTTGGTGCTTTTTAGTGCATGCACTAAATATTCTGTTGTTTTTGTATGGAGCAAAATCATGTTCAGGAGAAAATAGAGGTTTGTACATTGGTCACTGGTTGCAGTGATTTCTGAGGATCAGTACTGGCTAAACAAAACACCCATTTGAAATTTCCCAAGTTACTTCACAACATTTTTATGCCAAGATTATTTCATTCTCAATTTTAATTTATTAAATAGAAACTTACTGAGAACAGATATATTTAGTGTTGATTTCTAAAACTTACTTTGTCCTAACTCAAAAAAAAATCTGCTCATAATTGAGACCCATGTGTCATATTGGATATATATATGTGTGTGTGTGTGTGTGTGTGTGTGTGTGTGTGTGTGTGTGTGTGTGTGTGTGTGTGTGTCAGCTGCAAAATAATATACTTTGAAAGAAAAATTGATGCTTTCTATGGACCCTGATTTCTAAAAGCTGGTATAAACAATAAAAAATCCACATCGATCAGCCTGTTTTTTAAAATATTCTCGGGTATATTAATATTAAATTTTCATATCACCTTCCTTTTATTCATTTATTTATTTATTTATTTATTTATTTATTTATTTATTTATTGCAGACCACAACTGGAGGAACTCCAATTAATGCTGCAGGATTTTCTGCACCACTCCTGTTGAAGACGGAAAACCAAAGTAAACAGTAGAAGCTGTACATGAGATGAGAGTTTGTTTACGTTCGAACGTCCAGTGGTCCTGACTACCCAAATGACCAGCAGGGAAGCCGAAGCCCAGACACGTTTTACGCTTGTGCAGCAATCACTTTTTTTTTTTGTAACACTATGATGGACAATCAGCGAGAGAGCGAAGGGTTAAGAACTCCCACTGGGGCTCGTACTGGCTGCCAGCTCCGACTGCAGCGCTAAACGTAGCTCTCCATCTTACGTACAGGCTTGGATGCATTTCATGGTGTCCCTTCACTAATTCATGACCCCAATTTTGTTAAGGAAATGTAGTTTTGCTGCACGGGAACTTGTTGGTCGGAGAGAAATTGTGCGAGCAATTCCATGGGAGAGAGAGGCATACAGTGCCAGGGGCTACTGCATTCCTGGAATGAAAATTCATAAATAATGCAAGGATGGATAACAAAAAAGAACTCCCCCGCTGTCTCGCACAGCTCTGCACTATCCAAAGGCCGTGCGATATCACTCAAATCTCTGAAAAACACAAATTGTGAGAGGTAAAGAAAGATGTTGGTGCTGGATTTGTGTCTTTTCTCTCTCCTTTAGCCTAGAGGACGATGGCGTCTGCAGACAGCCGTGGCAAAACGCCAGCTTTCTAACAATCGGCACTCCACTGCTAAATTCTCAGAAAGTTGCACCCAAAATAATGATGTGACTGCAAGCCAAGAAGCCTGAGCAGCCACTTTGAATTTCCAAACGCCATATGCACCAGGCACTAAACAACAACAAGGGTGAAAATTAAAAAGCAAGCAGGCAACATCTGAGAGGGATAATTAGCACAGCGACAACAACCGCTGACCACAAACTGCTCCTGCTGAGGGGGAAACCAGAGTGTGTAGACACACACACGTGATGTAAAACCCTGCGTGTGACTGACTGACAGCTCCTGTGGTTAGCAGCTGACGGATAGGCGTTTCTCATCAGTGACCTGTGCTGTAATTGCTGAAGTGGCATTTCACTTAAAAGGCTTGTCCTGTAATTGTGGTTGTCATAATGTGTGCCACAAAAATCATGCACTCGCATCCAACCTGCAAGGCCTAAAAGTACAAAAATAAATAATAAATCAAACGCACCCACAGCCGAAGGCTTTCGCTACATCAAACACACGTCCTGCAGAAACAACAGGGACATCAACGCAAACGCTCCCGGTTCCATACATCTGAATCATCTCCCTGTTCAGTGAGCATATGTCTGTGGAGGAGAGGGAGAGTGTGTGTGTGTGTGTGTGTGTGTGTGTGTGTGTGTGTGTGTGTGTGTGTTAACCTCTTCCACAAATGCCTCCTATTAATCACACAGAGCTGAGACAGGACGCCGGATTTTCTATCGATAGAGAGCAGAGGAGGAATTAGCTTTGATAAAACGAAAACATTTGAGTTTAGTGAAACGTCACAAGAACCAGAACCAGTCTCTGAGACGAGTCCAGCGCTGACTTTCACATTAGCTAACCTCACACAAAAGCTGAATGGTAATGAAGATGGAGTTTTAGGGGGAATTTGCATTATTCCCTGTATGGGTTACCCAGCCTGTGCAGGAGAGAGGAGTGGTTCAAAACCTATCAGGGCAAATTCTGCTGCTTCATAATAAATATGATTTACTCACATATGATGAGTTCATTAAACTTCCAAATATGAACAGACGTGGAGCATTTCTCTGTGAATAAGCTAGTTATGATAGGTGATGAGTTTGGAGCTGCCAGCTTTCAGGTTTCTGGTGCTGCTGATGCTGGAGGACATCAGGCGGCCTCACAGAAGTCCAACTCCCCCCATTTCCCTGGATCTGGATCTTGATGGAGATCACGTGAAGTGGACGGGCCAGAAGTAGAGCAGCATAAGCATCTGTGATGAAAACACCTCCTCCTCCTCCTGCCTGGTGTTCTGCGCTCTGCCAGAATTGTCGTTATTTAGACCGCTTGTCAAAAGTCACTCTGCGTCCCCGCACTCCAAAGGAGGCGTGCTGCTTATTATAAAACACACGCGCACGCACACACACACACAACCATATTTTGCCTCCTTATCCAAACACGTCCCTGCATGCAGGCGCGCGGGTTCTGGTACCGCACAGCCTATGAATACACGGTGTCTCCGAACATCGTGTGGCCGATTCACCGCCAAGGAGCCTCAGAAGAGAGGCATAAACAGGCCAGAAATAAAGACGTGCTCACCTTTCCGACGCAAAGCCATTCCTTTAGTCCGGTTCTCCCTGCAAAAGCTGTAGGCTGACAAATCATCCAAAATCAGGACTTTGCGGTGCTCCTGCTCTCCAAACGTGAGGCTCCTCTATCCGCGCACGCGTGTGTGTGGAAATGTGTGTGTGGATGGTCTGGCTTCGAGGCGGCGGTGCTGATGCTGATGATGCTGATGCTGCTCGCTCTCAGATGCCGACAGAGGAAGACGAAACGATTCGCACGGAGAGGAAAGGGATCTCCTTGCAGAGGCTGCGCGCCAGCGTAGCTCCACTGTTGTGTTATCTGTGTGTGTGTGTGTGTGCGCGCGCGCGCGCGTGTGTGCGTGTGTGAGAATGGGACAGGGAGCCCGGCGCGGTGCTTCTTAGAGCCGCGGTTGAGGCTGATGCTGGAGCTGCTGAGGCTCTGTGCTGCTGTAGCGCGTGCGGTGTGCGTGTGAGTCGTGTGTGTCCCTGTGAATCTGCGAGCTTGTGAGTGTGTGTTTGTGCGCCTGGATCGTACCACCGCGCGGAAGAGAAGGGGGTGTGGCCCGGACCGGGCACAGACACAAACACAAGCGAGCGCAGGCGTCAGGAGGTCGTCTGGATCACTCATTCAGGTGCTGCCATGTGGCTCCAGTGAGGGAGTGCTGACTCATGATAACAACCACAGAGATTAAAACAGAACATATCGGTGTTTTTCAGCATCTCGCGTCCAAAACAACAAATGATCCGACAGAGCAACAGACTCATGGGGGTGGAAGGGGCTCACATCTATAAAAAACAAGAACAAAACAGATACATTATTAAAAGCAGAAGCCTAAATCTGTACTTTTATTTTAGGGGATTGAATGTGACACTAACTTATGGCTCCAGTGGGCTCTGATGCGTGATTACACCTGCACACCATCCCATAAAAACCTGCTTTTCTTTACTAAATGAGCCACTTAATGATTGCAATCCGTGCTCTCCGTAACACATTAGTGTGGGTACCTCCAGCCAGCCTGGTGCTCACTATACTTGTGAATGACAGGCCAGCCTGGTGCTCACTATACTTGTGAATGACAGGCCAGCCTGGTGCTCACTATACTTGTGAATGACAGGCCAGCCTGGTGCTCACTATACTTGTGAATGACAGGCGTTCTAATGATGCAGTTTATTATTTCCCCAAAGCATCACACGCACGGGACTACAAACAAGCACTCTGACAGCTGCTTCAGCCTATCAGCCTCTCAGCCTGTCTCTGCTCCATCCCAGCGCAACACACACACACACACACACACACACACACACACACACACACACACACACACACACACACACACACACACACACACACACACACACACGTATGCATCTTTTATCACCAATGGATTTTGGCACTTTCTGCCAGTTTCATCTCATGGTCCTCTCTTAAGTGGAGGCCACAAGTCCGGCAGTTCCTCACAGGAAGTGAAGTGATCTAAGGGAGCCCGGAGGGGGGTGGGGGGGCTCTGGGCCTGAGTGTGTTTGATAAAATCATGTCTCTGATGTAAAGGTGCAGGAGGCACTCAGATCCTTCACTCCTGCAGGAGGATTAGCATCAAAATGTGATTCCTTTGATGCGTAATGGTCACCACAGTGGACAGGTACTCAAAATTGTTATTTATTTATTTATTTATTGCTATTAAGTACAGCGGTTGAAGACTTTATTGCATTTGAGCCCCTCCATTTGGACTTCGGTAAGCCAAGCCGGCATAGTTCATGTTCAGAATGCACGCTGTCCGCTGAGGTGGACATGTAATAAATTATTTGTAAATTATTAAATGTTGCAAAAAATATTTGTTGAAATTCGTTTCATTCACACCTAAAAATGAATGAAAAAATTGTTTAAAAAATCTCGGTTGAAGATTTCATAATTCATGCATCAAAGGGTGTTGGCTTCATCTGTCTCAGCGAGCCGAGGTCACATCACTGAAGCATCGTGCGAACACCAAAGCACGACAAACAGACGGCTATTTGGCCAAGGGGACGACCCTGTGGCTGACTGGTTAGCGCGCACGACTCTCACCTGGAAGCTTGGGGGTCGAATCCTGCCCGGGCCCTCGTCCATCCACCTTGCCACACCAGTGTCACTCTACAGCTCCACTTGGGGATCATCCAAGGCCAGAGAGGACCCATGTATTCCCTCCACAAGGTTTGCATCTCCTCCCAGGCAAACAGGAAGCACCGTAATCAGATGCCAGAGCCGCCTCAGCTGACTCCGTTCAATGTGGAGGAGCAGCAGTCCTGGAGAACGGCGCTCCTCAGCGTACCGTCCTACGGCCTTAGCTCATCTTAGCCTCTTGTCAGGCTGAGGTGAGCACAGCCCCAAAGATCAGATTTCCACCATCATGACTCCAGACAAAGCTCTGATCCATCCATGCACTCTCACAAACAAGATCCAGGTGGAGTTGTTTTACACCTGAATGAATCAAACGTCCGAGTTGTAGAAGGCTGAGCTGAAAGGTTAGAGGACTATGGTTATAAATGACGGTGTCCCTGAGGGCTGCTGGAAGCTGCCAGAGCAAAACTCAAGATACCCGCTAAAGCTTGTAGACATGTCAGTGAGAAGTCTCTGATGTGCAAAAAGGGCTAACATCACACCGAGTCATCCTGAGACCTGATTCATAACCGCTGCTGTCAGAGTCGTCTTTGTCCTGAACTGTTTTTGATGCTAACTAATGATCCACGCAGCTGCTGGTTCCAAGTCCGTTTGTAATTTGGTTTTTGTTGCAATCCTTCTTCAAAGTGACCCAACAAACAAACAAGAATAAAATAATTCCTCTGAAAATGTTTGGAAAAGAAACCCAAATGTGTAAAAGCCAGACTAACGTTCAAGGATAAACACAGTAGTACCTTCAGATAGTCACATTAACCCTTTCATCAGTAGGTCAGTCACCTGCTAGGGCACATTTCAGGTCCTATGTCTTCTTGAAGTATGCACTAAACAACAAGAAAGCAAACTAAAAGACCTCATAAGCTGTTAAGAAAACTAAAAATATGTGGATTTCTGACTAAGTAAATTTTTTTTATAGTTATAAATTATTAGTTATAATTGCTCTACGACCAATCCAAAACACGTATGTTAAGTTAAACCCTACTCACGTAATACAACCACTGCTGTTGTTCTTGACAGTTTCAGTACCTTCCAGAATGAGCCATTTCAGGGCTCTGTCTCTTTAAAAAAAAACAAGCTGGCCACGCCCACTTCTCCTCCTTATTGGCTACTATAAGCTGAGAAGCTCCGATGGGAGGGGCTTGGAGCAGCATACCTCCTCCAGGTGAGAGGCGGTTTTATTTTATTTTTCCAGTTTGTGACATCACAAACAAAGACTTCCTGAAACAACATGTTTTAGGCACATAATTTCTTAAAGCAAACACAGACATAAAAGGGTTGTTTGTTTATTGTCATGTTTTGGTTGTTTATAGCAGCAGCAGAGACCCGCATGGCAGCACAGAAGGATAACACGTCTCCTTTAAACATAATTACCCTACATTTTTATAACCTTAATAATTTTTTGTCATTTTTATTACATAAACATTTATTCGTCCTCAAAAGGGAAAACATGTACGTTTCCATAAAAGAAATCAGACACGTAAAAAAATGTTATAAATAACTGAAGGCATGAGTGTAAATGCTACCTTTTACTGAAGCTTTTAAACCAAGACTACAAATTATAGCATTTTATTCTGACTTTGAGTCAAATGGGAATAAAAACAAGCCAAAAACATCTTCCGATTACACTTAAATACACCTCTGGAGTAAGTGTATAGTGAACTTATTACTTCATAGCTCCGCATCTGTCAGACGGTTGCTAGAAGCTGCTTCACGCAGCAGCAACGACTGAAGAGGATGAAGAATTTTGATCAGGAATCCAGACTTAGTGAAGGGTGCAGCTTCCTGCAGGAAACCTGTCTGTTTCTGAAACACGGTGTTTGCCTGCAGAGTCCTAATGGCAGGCACACTGCACCTCCAGTGGCTAAACGCTCCTCTTCTTTTAAAAGAGCACTTCCTCTTTTCCTCCCCAACACATCTTACTGAGATATCTCCTTGACAACCAGCTCAATGCAGAAATTTGAAATGTCACAGTGTTTTACTGTGATTCTTTTTTATCATTATGGTCTATAGAGGCGAGATAATAGATGTGGGGAGGGGAGGGGCTGGCCTTGCAGGAACAGAGCTGTGGCTTTTACATCTGTCTTCAGGAAAGCACCACTAATAAAAGCTGAGAGTGAGGTTTTACGTCTCACACCAGATTGTTGTTTAGAAGTGATTTGGAGTCTGCACTTTTAGGCAGAGGAAAGTTTGTGAGGTATTTGTTAATAAACATCATTAGATGCTCCGTAGAGCCCGTTAGAGTGCATTTCAGACATTATATTACATGTAATGTCATCTGATTATAGTGTAAATCACATTAAATGATATAACCTCATTAAGTAGTATCTCATTAGGCGGTGAAAAAAGGAAACAAAAAGGAGAGAAAGGCCCATCTTCATGAGAGCATGTTTGCTGATCCAATTATTCCTGCCCCATTTGGGCAACATGGAAGCACAGCTGAGCGTACACGGAGAGATCAGGAGAACAGAGGTGGGTTTAGAGCGTGGGCTCCATTAAAGTGATGGGAGGGGGGGTGCCTATGCCACTGCTGCTGCTGTGAATGCTGAGGAGGAAGTGAAAACTCTCTGGATGGGAAGTTATCCTGGTTTTTCCTCCTTTTCTACAGTTTTTGAGCATCTGAGGCTGATTTCACAGCGATGGGATGGTTACACTTCACCCTCCTGAACCAAGAGCTAGCTCCAGGGTGTAGTTATGCTGCTATAGGCTTAGACTGCTGGAGGACACAAACATTCTCCCTCTCCTGATAACAACTTTTTGCTTTCCTTGACGTTGGATGTGCTACTACTAGTTTACCCGTTTAATTATAGATCCACTAGGATAAATACAATAAAGTTTATCTTTCACCAAATAGAATATTTACTAAGAAATCACAATATAACTATAGACACATTACTTGTCGTGTGTGTGTGTGTGTGTGTGTGTGTGTGCGTGCGTGTGTGCGCGTGCGTGCATGTGTGTGTGTGTGCGTGCGTGTGCGTGCGTGCGTGCATGTGTGTCTGTGTGTGTGTGTGTGTGTGTGTGTGTGTGTGTGTGTGTGTGTGTGTGTGTGTGTGTGTGTGTGTGTGTGTGCTCTGTCTTCTCCATCCCCAGTGAGTCGTGGAGGATGGCTGCTTATACTGAGCCAGGATTCTCTGGAGGTTTCTTCCTGTTTAAAGGGAGTTTTCCTCTCCACTGTCGCTGCATGCTTGCTTAGTATGAGGATTGCTGTATAGTCACTGACACTAGTCAGTGACTTGATGCAATTTACTGGGTTCCTTATATAGGAAACATTATTTCTGATTGGCTTAATGAACTGATCTGAATTGGAATGTTTATTATGTGAAGTGCCTTGAGAC